GAAAATAAATATTTATAAATTAAGGTTGGGAGACACTCTTCCTTGAGGAGCAGTGAACATGCACCAAGAAGCACAGAACATTGAGAGTCAATTTAGGGTGTGTGGGGGGGGGGGGGCAGGCAAGATACAGAGAAATGGGGAAGTCGTCCTGCTTGTATCCTTGAAAATTTAAACAGTCACAGATACTTTAGGTTGGGGAAAGTATCCAACATATCCCCCCCTTGCATATCTATAATTTTATTTTATTTTTACAAATTATATTTACTTCATTTATATCACATTTCCTCTGTTTTATCTTCCCAATCACCCTGTGAGTTAGAGTCTGGCTGAAAATGTGTGACTGTCCCAAGGTCACCCAGCAAGCTTCCACAGCAGAGTAGGGATTTGAACCTGGTCTCCCAGATCCTACTCTGACACTCTAACCGTTACACCACACTGGCCGTGAAAGAATATAGAGCGACACACAAAATACTGTGCTATTTGAAGGCTTCCATAGAATCTTTTGCAGCTTTACCTCGAAAGTCCAGTCCTTTTCTTCTTCGCCATCCAGAAGCATAATTGTCTCATTATAAGTTTTTCCTACTTCCAGCTGTGCCGGGGAGACATTAAACTCAATCCTTTGAAGATCGAAACCTATTCCAACTCCAATGGCTTTTATAAAGCTCTCTTTTAATGCCTAAAAAGTAAACATTCAAACACAGGAGGTTGCCCTATATGAAGTTTGTTTTGTCATTAAGTTTACACTGGATCCCATTACAGCTTCCATACACAGAGAGTATCCCTCCAAGTCCTCTCCTGTTGCCTCTGAACAGCAGTCGTGAGAGTCACACTATTACTACTTACATAAGTAGTAATACAAAATCCCTGCATGCCTATATGGCTTTGCCTATTAAATCCTTGTTGTCTCTCTCGGCTGTACATTTAACGAATTTCCATGCTTATATCATGCAATTACAGAGCTGAAGGAATAAACCTGGACTCGCGTAGGAAGTCCCGTGCTGCTACTTGTACAGAAATGGGCATAGGTTGAGCATTAGTCACGACATTTTGAGGGCTGTTAACTGGTTCTGTTGATCCCTCATCAGCCATTCGACTGATTATTTATGACAGTTATACCCCCCCCCCCAGGAGCTCAGAGTGATTTATATCTGGTTCACAGTCAAGTCTCCCAGCCGTAGCTGATCTGTTCAGCTTTGGCAGTTGACCTAGGTCACATGCCTTCGGACCATTTTCAGAGCTCCCATTAAAGATGTGATTGGTCAACTAAAATTAAATATAATCGGCATCTTATGAAACCACCGACATAGGCAGGGTTGCCATCTCTAGGCTGGGAAATACCTGGAGATTTGGGGGGGGGTGAAACCTGAGGAGGGCAGGGTGAGGGGAGGGGCTTGAGCAAAGTATAACGCCATAGAGCCCACCCTCAAAAGCAGCCATTTCCCCCAGGGGGGCTGGTCTTGGTGATCTGGAGAGCAACTATAGTCGCGGGAGATCTCCAGGAGCCACCTGGAGGACAGCAACCCTAAACATAGTGTCTCTTTTGTGATACCGAAGAAAGTGCAAGAGGAATCTATGACACTCCCACCACAGCCCAAGTGTCGGGGTGCAGGTATGAGAAGATTTTATTTAGACAGCTACGCCCCACATTTCTCCCCAGTGGGGACCCAAAGCGTCCTTCTCCCCCTCTTCCATGTCCTCCTCACCATCGATCCTGGGAGGAAAGTTAAGGCTGAGAATGACTGGCCCAAGCTCTCCAATTTGAACCTGGTTTCCCCAGATCCCAGCCCAACCCTCTAACCACCACATCACACTGGTTCTTTACCGTCACTCAAGGGACTAGGGAAGTCTGGCCTCGCCAGACATTTGCACGGTCCATTTATGTCATTTTTCAGAAATAAAACAGACATTTTTATTTCATGACTCACGGGACTGTAAGCGGGCCCAGAGAAATGAAGCTTGAATGATTTGTTGCCAGGAGGTCATTTGGACTTTAATTCTTTCTTTTTTCTTTTGGGTTTTTTTTTTAATTCCCTAACAATCCAGAAGCAAAGACCCCCAAAGGCACTCTTGTATGTTTTTAACTCTCAGTCCCACTTATCAACATCGCCTCCCCCACAATCAAATAAAGCTTTCCTTGATTAGTCTATTGATTAAACTTGGCAGCCCTGAAATTTCTCTTAAAACACAAACAACACAAGGGCTGGCTCTAGAACGCCCAGAACTAGGACTCGTTAGCCTTTTAAAGTATTGGAACAGGACAGACAAGACAGCAGCAACGCAGAGCCTCAGACTTCTGAAGTGTCATTTCTGTAGCACTCACAAATTCACATCCCATTTATCACGGAGATAACTGCTCTCTTAAAGCTCTCTGGCTTTTCAAGAGGCCACAATACTTTCTCAGCGTCTTCGGCCACTGCTGTCACTGTTCTGCTAGCCTCCCCAACCCATCAGACACCACAGCTTCAGCACAGGGGGCGCCTCTCTCCTACGTGTAAACGATTCCATTTTGTGTAAAGTGCAGTCAAATCACAGCCGACTTATAGTGACCGCAGCAAGGGGCTTTCAAACGCAGAGGTGGTTTGCCATTGCCTTTCTCTGCTAAGTATTTCTCAGTGGCCTCCCTTCCCAGTACCAACCCTGCTTTACCCTCCAAGACCTGATGAGACCGGCCTAAATCATGCTGCCTTCTCTCCCAGACGATTCCATTTGGGGCTCCAATTCAAAGCACTAGCTGTGGGCTTCCAAGCTCTTAAGCTATCTGAATGGCTGAGGACAGCTGAAGGATGGCCTGTCTTCCATATGAACCTGCTGAGGGGTTTGGGTCATCACTGACCCTTTGGAGGGGAGCTGGATGGCTACTGGAGAGCAGGTCTTCTCACTGGTGGCTCTCAGTCGCCCGGGAGGCCTGAGAGATCCTGTCTTCTCTGCTTCTGTAATCCTGTCCCCTTTATGCAAGCCTTCGATGCTGAGGGAAAGCTGTGTGTGCAATGGGTTGCTCATTGGTGTCAGAACTGCTGGTACTGATAACAGTACTCTTTGGCCCCAGGCTGTGGTTGGAAGATACATCACAGCAAAGCTAAGCAGGTCTAGGTTTATTCAATGCCTGCATTGGAGACTGCATGGGAACCTGATATGCATTGCCTTAGTAATGTAAGAACAGCCCTGCTGGGTCATATCAGTGGCCCATGTAGTTCAGCATCCTGTCTTACACAGTGCCTGACCAGTTACCCGGGAGGGGGGGACAATAGGGAATTGATGCTGAGGCCTTCCCCTGATGTTGCCTTAGGGTTGCCAAGTCGGGTGTTGCGCCGCAGGGGGGGGACTCCCGGCTGGCACCTGGAGCGGGCGCGCGCACGTCACCCGGGTGACACGCACGTCGGGGTGGGGCTCCCCCCAGGGCCCGATCCGCCAGTGGCGGGGAACGGGCCTCTGGGGCGGGGGTTTCCCTGCCCCCCGGGGGGACTTGGCAAGTCTATGTTGCCTCCTGGCACTGGAATTCAGAGGTTCACTACCTTCTGTTACCATGGCTAGTAGCCCTGATAGACCTATCCTTCATGAATTTATCTAATCCTTTTAAAAAGCTGTCTATGCCTCTGGCCACTACCCACCCTTCTGGCAGTGAATCCCACATTTTAACCACTTGTTTTAACATCTATGTAAAGCCACTGGAAAAGGTCATCTGGAGATTTGGGCTGAGTTGCCACCAACATGCAGATGACGTTCAGCTCTGTACCAGCAGACTCTAATCGGGTGGCAAGGTGGTATAAAAGTGTTTTAAAGAAAATAAAGAAATATTTCCTTTTGTCTGTCCTGAATCCACTTCCCACCAACTTCATCGGATACCCTCAAAATTCTAATATTTTGGAAGAGGGAGAGAAAGTTCTCTCTTTCTAATCTCTCTAGCCTCTGCATAATTTTATAAACTGATATCATGTCGCCCCCCTAGTCATCCCTTTTCTAAACTGAAAACTCCAAGACTTGTCTATCTGTTCAGTGCTCCAACCCCCTAATCATTTTGGTTGCCCTCTTCTGTACTTGTACCAGCTCTGCAATATTCTTTTTGAGATAATGGTGACCAGAAACAGCACGCAGTATGCCAAAAGAGGCCACACCATAGATCGCTACAGGGGCATTATATTATTGGCTGTTTTATTTTCAGTCCCTTTCCTAATGGAGTTTGCCTGGGGATTATTAGGGAAAGGATTGAAAATAAAACAGGTCAGTGGTGGAATAAAAGCAGGGAAGAAGCGTAACAGATAGATACATGTTTTGGGTTTTTTTAAAAGACCATTTTAAATGTATTATGACTGGTCTTTGTTGGGCTTCTTGCTTTTATTTATTCAAAACATTTCTAGCTTGCATTTCTCCTGACCAGACCCAAGTCAGCTGACTGAATAAATAAATAAATAAAATTCAGTGGATAGATACACACATCAGGACTGTCAAAGGATAATATCAAGTTCACCACTGCAGGAAAAAAAAATAACAGTGCTCACTCAAATGCTCTTTTAAACTGTACATGGATTCTACACTGTACACAGGTTCTATATGTGCATTCACTGTAACTTGTGAACAGGACTACCGAGTCAGACCACTGGCTTACCAAGGTCAGCCTTGTCTACTCTAACTGGCAATGGCTCTTCAGGGTCTCAAGTAAGGATCCAGTTTGGCGTAGTGGTTAGAAGTGTGGACTCTAATCTGGAAGAACCGGGTTTGATTCCCTACTCCTCCACATGTAACTGCTGGTCAGTTACAAGTTCTTTCAGGGTTGTTCTCTCCTGAGCAGTTCTCGAAAGAGCTCTCTCAGTCCCACCTACCTCATAGGATGTCTGTTGTGGGGAGAGGAAGGGAAGGGGATTGGAAGCCACTGGGACTCCTTCAGGTAGTGAAGGGTGGAGTATAAATCTCCTCCACCACCATCTTCTTCATATCACCTGCTTCTTGACCATTTTAACTGCAGATGCCCAGGGACTGGACCCGGGACCTTCTGCATGCCAAGGAGATGCTCTATCACTAAGCCATGACCCTCTAGATTCAGATGTGCGATATGAACACGTTTTCCATGAACAACAAGAAAGCAACAGTATGCAACACTGTATGTACTTAACTGCCAAGGGGGGGTGGGAGATGAGGAAAAAATTCCCTCTGGCTGGTGGAAGGAACATGCTTTGCAGAGGTGCCTCCTGGTTTATTTCCAAATGAGTCAGTAAGAATTTCAGAATCAAATAAGGAATAAAGCAAAATGATGATCCCTGGGGAGAGGCTGTGTTGTCCAGTGGTCAGAATAGGGGGGGAAATTGCCTTATTACTTCCTCTGTAGTTTTTCAAAGCAAATTCCTTCTTTTAAGTATTATGAAGTGATAAAGAACAGTGTGCTTCAAAGCAAAGACACTCAAAAGTCTGAGCAGCGATGGTGTTAACTAGGTCACGAACAACAAAAAAGCATTCCTACATAAAGAAGCTCCATTACCCAATGTCTGTGAAACATATCCAACTGAAGCCATTCATTAGGCATGGATGTGATCGTCCGCCACTCTTCCTCCGTAAACTGCCGGTTCATAATGCGGAAGAATTCAGGAATCGAACCACTTCCTGCAATTAGGAAATTAAATTATTGGCTGGGAGGGCAGAAGGAAGATTCCATAGTTACAGCTAGTTAGTCATCCCTGACTGTTGTTGCAATTAGAATACACCATGTCTTGTTAATGGAGCCTGCTATGCAGGGAGGGCAAGATATAAGTAGAATAAAATAAATAAATAAGATGTATTAAGAGATCAGAGGTTAAGACGCTGAGCTACAGACTGGATGGTCGGTAGCTCGGCAGTTCGAGGCCCTAGTGCTGCGTGATGGAGTGAGCTCCCATCTCTGGCCCCAGCTCCTGCCAACCTAGCAGTTTGAAAACAAGAAATTGCAAGTAGATAAATAGGCACCGTTCCGTGCGCCTCGGCGTTTAGTCATGCCGGCCACATGACCACGGAAATGTCTTCGGATAGCGCTGGCTCGTCGGCTTGGAAATGGAGATGAGCACCGCCCCATAGAGTCGGATTTGACTAGCTTTCAAACAAGGGAAACGTTTACCTTTACTATTAAGAGATCAACATTCTCCTAACATTGGTCTAATGGCTTTATTGCTGTTGTCTTATAATTTGTTTACCTACTATATTTAAACAGAATTGTCTTTAAATCAAGGGGATCGTTTTTTTATGAGATTCCTGAATCAGAGAGCCTTGGTTAATTTCTGTTTTAAACTATCAAGAGACACAGCAGACTTATGGAAAACCTACAGGGTTTTCAAGGCAAGAGAGTCAGAGGTGGTTTACCATTGCCTGCTCCTGCTTCGCTTTCAAGATCTGGCTAGCAGGGGCTGTCCAGGTCAGGGTCTGGTTAACATTACTGATGCTTAACATCAGTGCCAGTGAATGCTTAACTTTTATTCCACTACCTCCAACCAAGGATACAACATTATCATCAAATGCTCCTTGTGAAGAAATACCCTTTTATTTCAGTAATCAGGCTGATCCCCCCGTACCACCCCTGCCCCCCACTCCCCTGAAACATGGGGCAGGTGCCACACTGGGGAACAGTCCTCTGAAGAGCGACAAGTGGCTCATCAGAGAACTACATGTGGCTCCTGAGCCGCTGAGTACCACTACTCCAAACTTTCCGAAACTTGGCTGAGAGGCTTCTCTGGTTAACAGGAACAACTAAAAATATTTCATCCAAATTGGATGGAAAACAGGTGATACAGCCAGAAAACGTTTTCATTTGAAGCCAGTCGGAACAAACCCCTCCCCCAATAATGAAAATAAACACGCTGTGTTTGGTATGCCAGTAACAAAGTTTTCGAACCAAAAATGAAGGTGGAAATAAAAATCTGTTAATCCCTATCATCAGCCACAACACCATCTTTCTGACGGCTTTAATCTGCATGGGCCATGAGTATAGTTGCGCTATGTGAGCAAGTATATACGTCTGGAGAAAGTGAGCCAGATCTCATGGGATGATTTCTGCCTGTGGAACCCTCCTTGTGCAGAGGCATTAAAATCATTCCTCACTACATACTTGCACTGAATGAAGGCACAACAAAGCAAGAGTCTAAGAGCAAGCTAAAGACCAACAAAACTTATTCCACTATAAGCTTGCATTAGTCAGAGCTCAATTCATCAGACGCACAGGAGTGTCCACTCAAAGCAGCTATATTTAGAGTTCAAGCCAGAGGAAAGGGTAGGGAGAAGTTACAAAGAGAGGCCAGAGGTGGTTGTGTTTTTTTTAAAAAAGGATCAATGAAAGAATAATCAGTCCATTCATAGTGGGTGAGAACCACTTCCAACTACTGGTAGATATGCTGGGCAGGATTACTATAAAATCTGTAGAAAATATGGTGTGAGACTTGTTGAGTGCATTGAGTAAGGCAGTACAGCGACAATGTAAAATACAGTTGCCATCAGCTGCCATGTATCCTCAGGCAACCAGTGAAGTGAGGGTAGGGGAGACTTGCCTGCAGCAAACTGAGGCCTAGGATTCTAGTGACATGATGATGATGCCACTTCTGGTTCACGGTGGAAGTGACGCCGCTGTGTTGCTGGTGACAGAGACCTGGACCTCAGTTTGCTGTTGGCAAGTCCTCCCACTGGCCAGCTGATTGGCACTGGGGGAAGGACCCCAAAGCACGGAACCTCCTAGAGAGCCAGTTTGGTGTAGTGGTTAAGTGTGTGGACTCTAATCTGGGAGAAATGGGTTTGATTCCCCACTCCTCCACTTGCACCTGGCTGGATGACGTTGGGCAAGCCGTAGTTCTGATAAGAGCTGTTCTTGAAAAAGAGCAGTTTCTGTCAAGAGCTCTCTCAGCCCCACCTACCTCACAGGGTGTCTGTTGTGGGGAGGGGAAGGGAAAGGAGTTTGTAAGCCACTCTGAGACACCTTTGGGTAGTGAAGGGTGGGGTATAAATCCAATCTCCTCCTCCTCCTCTTCTTCTAGTAGGATGGACCCCTAGTAGGAGTCTGGGAACCCTAAATACAGCTGAAGTAATCTGCAAAGTGTAGGTTATGATGAGACATCAGTACCTATAGTGAGAAAACCAAGTCCCCTAATCAAGCCTGAAAGGGGGAGAAATTACGTGTTCAACTTTCTGGTGAATTCCAAGTCAGCACTTTTGCACCGGCTCTTTCCGTTGTCTGAAAACGGCTACTTTTAGATTGACAAGGGACTTCTGACGCAACGTCAAAAAAGACCACGCAAACCTTCAGCTGAACATCCCCTTTCGAAAAGCAAGTACGCCAAATTAAAATAGGTTATGTGACATAATAATCTTTGAGGAAAAACTAACATGAATGCGAACAACTAGGAACTAGAGAGCTGTTTTAAAGATTTATAGAGATATGTAAATTTTAAAGTGTCCATGGGAAAACAAGCCTTAAAATAATAAAACAGAGTTAATCTAAAATAGGCACAACAAAAAACAAAACATCAAGTTGCACCCTATGAATATTCTGCAGCTCTCCCCCCCCCCACTTCTTTTCCTCTGTCCCAGCAGTCCCTTGCAACACATGGAAAGGCAATGCTGTGGGGGCTGAAGGACCAGCACTGATAGATAGCAACCTGGACCAGAGGGCCTGCAATGAGAAGTGGGAGAAATTGTTCCTCCTCCCTCGTCCATCAGCCGAATGTTCGTAGGATACAACTTACCACCTAGAAATAGATCGTACCAAAGCACACAAAGTGTTGCTAGGCAAGGATATTCAAAAGGTTTCTTCCCCCTCCTCTGGTTCAGTATTTCCACAACAGAACCTTCAGGTTCTCTTGTGGTCTGGCTTATATTTTCATGGCAGAGGAAGCATCTGAAGTGAAATGTCTGGAATAAAATGGACAGAGATGCTGACAGTGGAGAAATCTCCAAAGAAATACATCAGAATTCTCAAGGCAACAGCCGAATCCATTTTTAAAAAGAAGAAGAAGAAAAAGGGGTGGGGGAGACACTCTTCACAGCACATTGGGGCAGCCTGAGGAAAAATGGAAGTATAATCACCAAACAATCTGCATTAAGCTGAGCCTCGAGAACTTGAAGCTGTAGTTTATGAGGCTGAGAACACTGGAAAATCATTAGCAGGCTCATTATTTTAATTTACTGTCACTAAAATCCAGCAAGTGGTGCTAGTGGGAAAATAGGCAATGCCTGTGCAGAACACATTTTACTTTAGGAAGTTAAACGTGTCATACTTTATGAGTCTGTTTTAAAAAGGCAAATCTGATTCCTTGCATAATGCATTTGTGGTAATACAGTAGTTTTTGACGTTTCATATGGGAAAGGTTTTGCAAACTTTCCCTGCCCCCCTCGGCTTCATTTGGCCAGTCCTGGAACAGACAGCCATTGCTGCATAGGCTGTACGACTTAGGTCAGCTAGAATGGAATCCTAAGAACACTTTCCTTCGAGTGAGCCCCACTGAACAGACCTGTGCCGTATTATCATTGTTAGTTACTTTTTACCTCTCCTTTCCTCCAAGAAGCTCAAGGCAGTGTACATTATTCTCCCTCCCTCCATTTTATACTCACACCAACCCTGTGAGGTAGGTTAGGCTGAGAGAGAGAGACTGGCCCCGAGTTATCCAGTCAACTTTCTGGGTTGAATGAAAATTTGAATCTGGATCTCCCACGGTGCCATCCTGATCGGTTAAACCCTTCCAAGCCCTTTGGCTTCAATGGAAGAAGGGTGTGACTCCACTTGGGATGGCACTGCCAGATCATAGTCCAACATCCAAACCAAAACCACTATACTGCACTGGCTCTCTAGGATCTGAGGTCTGAGCTCTCTAGGATCTGAGCTTACTGAAGAAGAGAAGAAGAGATTGGATTTATACCCCGCCCTTCACTACCCAAAGGAGTCTCAAAGCAGCTTACAAACTCCTTTCCCTTCCCACAACAGACACCTTGTGAGGTAGGTGGGGCCGAGAGAGCTCTGACAGAAACTGCTCTTTTTCAAGGACAGCTGTGCCAGAACTATGGCTTACCCAAGGACATCCAGCAGGTGCAAGTGGAGGAGTGGGGAATCAAACCCGGTTCTCCCAGACTAGAATCTGCACACTTGGGCCAGTAACTCTCTCCTTGCAGAGTGGTTATGAAGATACAACAAAGTAAGGGAGAAACATATATGCTACCATGAACTTCTTAAAGGAAGGATAGGATAAAAACATGTAGTTGTCAGTTGCCAACCACTCCCTACCAGAGCCACAGAGGAAAATGGAAATTTCTTGAATAAACAGACTAAAGAGCTCGATGTAGTGCCTAGATAGCTTACCTCCTTGTCTCAGAAACAATGACATAATTTATTTGTTGACTTGAGTTATAGTCTGCTTTTCTTGCAGAGACTTGAGCTAACAATGAGAAAAATTATTAAACATCTTTGCCATATGGAATAACTGCAGGAGCTAATACACCAGGAGAATCACATATTATCACAGAAAGAACACAAGGGAATAAGAGACTTCGTGAATGAGTGATCCTCCTGCCAAAGCGACACTTTGCTTTTAAGAAGATAATTTTTTGTATCGTTTTGCCTTGTTAAAACTCCGTTTCCCCTAGAATTAAATCTTGAC